GAGAGAGAGAGAGAGAGAGAGAGAGAGAGAGAGCGAGAGAGAGAGAGCCGAGCCCCGCCGGCGGCCCATTGAGGAAAGATGGCCACAGTCAGTGCAAACGGAGTGCTGCGGGAGAATGGATTCAGCACCACGGACAGCGGCGGCAGGATGAACGGGCTCGGCCTCGGTAGTCAGAACACCATCCCCATGAAGGACCACGACGCCATCAAGCTCTTCATCGGCCAGATCCCCCGCAACCTGGAGGAGAAGGACCTCAAACCGCTCTTTGAGGAATTCGGCAAGATTTACGAACTCACGGTACTGAAAGACAGGTTTACCGGGATGCATAAAGGTTGGTTCTGGCCGCTTTTACTTGTTTGCCATCTTTAGCGTAACTGTGTAAACAGGAAACTATGACCTCATTTTTTGTTGTTTGTTTCTGTTTTTTTTAATCATTATTTTTTGAGGTGGGGGGGGGTGAGATGAGAACGTGGGGAGCGGACCGAACTATTTCACACGTGCGTGTGGTTTGGCGCATGTTAATTGCAGAAGCACTTGAAGGGAACTATATTTTTTGAGGTGGTGTGCGTGTGTGTGTGTGTGCGCGTGTGTGTGTGTGTGTGTGTGTGTGTGTGTGCGTGCGCGCGCGCGCGCGTGTGTTTACATTGACAATCATGAGCGTGGAAGGGGGCGGTACCCCGCTGAGAGGCTTGTGCGGTTTCGCGACACAGAACACAAAATACAGTGCATAAAAGAATGGATGGTGATAAACTTTTAGGGCAGGGGTGACACTATACAGCGTTAAAAAAAACATACTAACATGCGCACACGCTGCACAATGAGTCCAAAATGGATGGTGGGTGAACTTTTAATTCAGGGGTCTTACAACCTTCTCCCCACCCAGGAAACATCCGCACAACGAACGTGTTTTGCTTGGTGGATATCATATTAAGTAGATGATATATCACCAAATAATCATCATACAAATGTCACAGTTATGTCATTGCAATCAAGTCACCATAATGTTGAATAATGGTAGTAAAGAAGCAATGAATATATCCCTCTTTTTGGGACGGGGGGGGGGGGGGTCAATTAGCTTCACTTTGTCTGCTTTCTGCTGCATGGCATAAAGCGATGGAAAAATGATAAAGATGCAATAATAAAATCTATAAGTAAATGAAAACATGTCTGATTAATATTTGGAAAAAATGTTAGAAAAAAAGATATTCCCCCTTTTCTTCCCACCCAGTTGTTTTTGAGGATCACACTATTTGCTCATATCATGACCGGAGTTGTTCATTTACTCAACCGCAGATGGTAGAGGCATCTCTTAGCGGGTCAGGGCATCAAAAAGGACAAATGCTTTGATTTCCATGTATTTAACTGTGCTAAAAAACCAAGAAATGAGGTGGACTGATTGGAGCTAAAACGATGTGAAACACCCCGAAACCTAAACCTGTACACACACGCACACACACACACACACACACACACACACACTTTTTACACACACACACACACACACGCACACACACACACACACACACACACACACACGCACACAACCTTGTGGAGTTACCACTTATCATAGTCTCTACATAACGCAAGATTACTTTTATTTCAGTTGAGAGGAAAAGGCAAAGAAATGGCAATGACTAAGGCAGACTGGGCAGGGCTAATAAGTCACATAAGTTCCCGAAACACAAACACGGATGCGCACGACATGGTGAAGTGAGTACAGTATATATCAGTCCGCTAGGTATCAGGTCGTAGTCAAAGAGGCTTTCTCACCTTTACATATGATCACCCAAAATGTTCGACACAGGAACTCATCAGAGAGACCTGTTTACATATCTGTAAATGCTGTTGTTTTGGCTAGCAACTTTGTCCGTGTGTGTGTGTGTGTGTGTGTGTGTGTGTGTGTGTGTGTGTGTGTGAATTTAGTATCTGAGATAATGAGATTCACGATTGTTGTTTACCCTCATGGGGAAATGGGCGGCGCCTATTTGGGGTGTGGCTTTTACTTAAACTGATAACATAGTGGCCACCGTTTGAGGACTTTTACGCGGCACCTTGACTGTTCGGCAATGCGGTGCTGCGAAACACCGGCGACACGTTCCACTCACCGTCCCGCCGACTGAGAGATCAGTAATCACCTCTTAATTACGACGACAAGCCGCTGATTACGCAGAGATCGATCACTTCTTAATGATAACCAAAAAGCGAGGGTGCGAGACTGTTTCGAGGCACAGGGAGCCATTAAGTCCAAAGTCCATTAGGCGGAACTCTGATTGCTTTCTGCACTTTTCCTATATGTTCAACGCAAGTCTTCTGCCATGATAAATGGAATGATTGCATTTTTTGGACAACAACAAATGAGTGTATTGCATCCCATGAGTGTTTCTTACCCTTGTTCCTTTTTCTCAAATTTTCAATTATATTTGTGTTAATTATATATGATTGTAATCCATTTTCATTGGATTTAAATGCTAATTTTCCAATATAATCACCACCTCTCTTTGTTGGTGGTGGGAAATAATTTGGTTGTTACTGCCTTACAGTGAGACGTTTCACAAGTTGCTCAATATGCGTCCTTGATCTGCCAGTGCTTCCCTGAAATAAATACAATACGAATTCTTATACTGACTTGATGACATCTACCTTCTACCTGTCGGTAATTATGTCCCTTTATTAAAGTAAATCATGAACTTACAGGATGTTTTTTTTTATGCTTGTATAACTCTAACAAATAATTGTAAATTCAGGGAAAATGAGCCCATATATTTCACTTTATTTCAATAATACATGAATAATTGATGCAGTTACTTATCTGAATAAGTAATCAAGGACATGACATAAAATTCAACCGGTTTTCGAATGAGAAGCTTTTTTTTTTTCCAAAATGCGACAAAACTATTCATTCACTACTCAGGAATTTTATCATTTGAACTTATACACAGTAATTGTGCTTCTTAAAAATACCTTTTTCTATTTTGATAGATCATTATAATGTACATTTCTTGAGTTATTTTGCATGTAGACATTTGGACCCAGATGTGGTGTCTTGCCCCAATCAAGGTCCACAGTACTGCCAAGTAATACCTTTGTACCTTTCGTGTAAGCTGCTACAAGAAGTTCCTTTCCCATAACTTACGTGCCAAATTGGGTTCAAGTCAAAGCTTCATGCCTATGCGGCTTTGAGCCGACAGGTTATCATTTAGTTATTAACATAACTTAAATGAGATGTTCATATTGATTTGCCTTAAATCTCGAGCCGGTCCCATAGAGACTTTTTTTTCCCGGGCTGTGTGTGAGTGCGCGCGTGTGTGTGTGTGTGTGTGTGTGTGTGTGTGTGTGTGAGTGAGGGGGTGGGGGGTGGGTTAAGTTTAGCATATAGCTGTTTCACGTAAGATGATATTTATTATTACCAGTGTTTCATTGGCTAAGAGAAATGACATGAACTTATAGTGAGGCGTCCATTTCAGTTCCCAAATGTAGTTTGTTGGCCTAAAATGGCCACTTGTCAGTCATTCACACATCAGTATTGGCATTAACATTCACAGTGAATCCCCTCAGCGCAAACTGTCAAATTACGTATGATATATAAGTCGGTGGCTACAGTTCATGATCTTATCGATCGCATTGAGATGAGTTCAGCTCAAGCAGCCTTGAAAACTCTCCCCTCCCCCCCACCTGTTAATCCCGCGCTCCACCTCTTTTCCCGCCGTGATCGATTAAAACAATATCTCCTGTTGCCGTTGTTTACGCACCGTCCTCGGCCATCCCTGAATGTCAACACCAAGGATGAGGGAGGTCCGACTCGGAAAGAGAGGGATAATCCTGTTCCGAAGACGGACCAAAGCGGGAGCCTCCCGCCCCCGAGCCGAGGCCGCTCTGAGGCAGGCATTCATTTATTCCTGCCGATCAGTCCTGTATGAGATTCAAAGTCACTTTGTGCGCACTTTTAATGAGATTTCACCAATGCATTACAGGGATGAGATTTTGCCCATGTAACACATGTTCATGTGGTCGTACAGACCCAAGCAGAATGCAAGAAAATGGGATTAGTGCCATTAAGGGAAACCAAAGCAGGTGAAGTGAATAAGCAGCTGTGTCGCCCCAAGGGTGGGGCGCCCTCTCAGGGACAGGCACAAGCTTTCAATGGATAAAATCAATGCCACTTGTAGAATACTGTTTGTATAAAGACCTTCTGTAATGAGTATACATTCACAGTCTCGCAGTGGTGTTTAGTACAGTATTCAAATTTTTTTGGGGGGTTCTTTTGAAATGTTGTGCCATCCAATTTTTTTTAACCCTTCAAGACCTCATCATCAAATCACGTGTTGGGACTCTAGAATTCAGATGAAAAACAAAAGACAATTGTATTTTTATCCTTTTTCATGCTCCAGGGTGGAACACGGCTGTGAATGCATCATGCGTTGTTGCAGGGTTTCATCAGCTGCAACTGGGACCTAAGACAAACTGGAAGGAATTCTGAACAGTTCCAAATAAAAGTTGCTGTTAGCACCGATGCTTCGAGCAGAAAGCCCCGCCCCCCCCCCCCAAAAAAATGAAAAGCCTACTAGATCAGAGGCCAATCAAAGTCCAATTTAACTTGAGTTGAGTGTGATCGGTTAATTCTGAACACGGCCACATTCTTTTTATAGGTTGGTGTGCACACTTGCGCAGCTGCATTTCACTTGCTGATCCCTTCTTGCTGTATTATGGACATGACCGACATGAACTCTTGAATAGCTAACGGAGTAGGGCGTCTGAAGCATTAGGTGACAAAGGGGTCGTGACAGCCAACGCTGTCAAGACTCAAAACAACTCTAAAATTCAGATATTTTTAAACATTTATCACTACTATTTCGACTGCTATATTTTTTTCTTCTTCTTTTGAAAAGTTCCATGACCTGACTGCTCCATGCTACGTCAGTGGGCCCAGCATAGGCAGACTAGTTTTTCGGACTTGTTTTTGATTCCCCCCTCCGGCGCCTTTTAAGCATTCCTCAGTACCAAATACAGCAGTTGGCTACGGACATAACTAACATGGACCTTCGAATGGCGAGTGGACATGATAAAGTCAATGCTGTGGAGTCATTTTCAACGCTATGTCACAGATAGTGCGTCACCCATAAGGCAAGACTGGGTTATAGTTGTATAGATGATCGAAGACATGAAAAAAATACTGAAAAACAAACCTCCCAAAAAAAAATCTGCGAATATGCAAATTTGTGGGTGCCAAACTTCGAATATGCAGATATCGACTATGGTTTTAAGTTGTAATGTCACCAATCACCACTAGATGTCTTGGTTGAAGTGGGTGAATGTTTATTCACTGAAAACAGA